TTCTCGGAACTCGCTCAGCTACTAACTCATGACGGCACCACTTGGATCTTTAATCCCCCGGCAGCCCCCCCACTTCGGCGGTAAATGGGAGGCCGCAGTCAAATCGGTCAAGCATCACCTACGACGGACTATAGGCGAGACTGCCCTAACCTATGAAGAACTTACAACTCTTCTGGTCCAAATCGAGGCAGTCCTCAACTCTAGACCATTGTGCCCACTGTCAGATGACCCGGAAGACCTGGCAGCCCTCACTCCCGGGCATTTCATCATCGGAGCAGCGCCAACAACAATTCCTGAGCCATCTCTCACCTCAGTGCCTCTCACAAGGCTGTCTCGGTGGCAGCTCATTCAGCAGCAACTCCAACACTTCTGGTCGCGTTGGTCAGCTGAATGTCTTCAACGTCAGCTCGCAATATCAAAATGGCATCATCCCTCCACGCAAATCAAGGTCGGCTCTCTTGTACTTCTCACGGATGAGAGATTCCCTCCATCAAAATGGCTTCTTGCTCGGGTCACACAACTTCATCTTGGTTCGGACGGTCTATGCAGAGTGGTCACCCTCAAGACGGCCACCACAGAACTCAAGCGGCCTATCACCAAGTTAGCAGTGCTTCCGATGACACCAGATCAACCCTCACTCACAAGGCAATCAACTACTGATCCGGCCTCACCATCATCAAGATCATAATTCTTCAACGCTGTTGTAGAAGGCGGGCGGAATGTTCAGGAAATATCGCTCCCTTTTCTCAATCTTTGCACCGGCATCTCACTTACTCTAGTCCTTCTCTCTAGCATTCTCTCTCTCTTCCTTTTTCCTCTTGTACGCGGCCGTGACCCAATCCCGCAGCCTGTCCTATCAATCTAACTAGTCTCGCGCAATGTTATCACCCAATCAAAAGCACGCTCTCAGGACCTTATCCGCGCTCCTGCGTCGATATCGACCCTTACGGAAATCCTCGATCATTCTGTGAGTACCGGTCTATCGTGACGCACGTTGCCTTTAGAACAGTTTTCGCTCTCTGAATATTCGGTTTAGATTCTCGTGGCTCTGCTCAAGTGAACTCTAATACGGTTGTCTCAAACGGTCATTGTCATCTCCCGGAAATTAACAGCATCAAATTTAAGAATCATACGCGCGTGAAGTGTGCGCTATCCCTTCTCGGGACACCGGGGACTTGTACGCAGTTATCGTACGAAGCACGCGGTACGTCGTAGAGCGACGTAACATTCTCTTGCAACCTCTCTCGAATTCCTCGGCGGATTTCGCGGTCGTTCTCAATTACAAACTATAGAATTATTGCATAAGATCCTAGACTAATAAGATTTAGTGTAATTATTAGAACAAAGCGAGATATCATTGCTAGAAGAATTGTGAAGTGCGGCTCATATTTCTTTGTGTGTGTGACTTATTTCTTTGTGTGAGTGACTCATTTCTTTGTGTGTGTGACTCATTGACTGTTCTGCCCGACACCCCCGAAACCAAACATTTCTCGGGTTATTTATTAAACA